AGCTTGAATTAATCTTTATGATAAAGTGGCATATTTTGAGGTAGCAAATTGTAGTTCCTCTTTAGCAGAAGCCCAGAAAACATCAGGACCAAGGCAACTCACCTGTTCTCTCAATTCCAAACTGCCAGAAGAATCTGATTGGTACCATTACACGTTACAGGTCAATGGTTAGCCAATGCATTGGCTACATTTGGATCAGGTCCCCAGAGCAGGGGTGTTATGACCAGGATACGTGGTCACAGGTCATGCTGAGACGCCTTCTTCAAGGACTGGGGATATAGGCACTAGAAAACATACCTATTACACATGCCATATGTCTATTATATGTACCAGATGTTTCATGACTTCTGGATTTATGAAATATAAAATTTTCATGATTATACTATGTTCTAAGAAACAGAGCAACCTAGATGCTTTGAGTAGATAAAAAGAAATAATGATCTTTATTTAAAGTGCTTGCAAATCTGACTTTCAATTACTTTCCCTAATACACAAGAGTTTTACAGACTTAGCTATGAATATGTCAAAGCACACATAGACAGTCTTTTTCACACACTCTTTCTCATAATCTGGTACCTTTCTGAGACCTTTCTGTTTTTGGAGGTTACATGGCAAAAACCTCTACTCTGCTCTGCCATAATTTACCTCATTTTTCCACAGTGGATGTCCAATCTCATCTTTTTTTCTAATTATTTCTCAATATTATTGCTTCCAATTTCTCAATGTTAGAAGTTAATTTTTTCCAAGGACTAATAAATGACTTATTGAATATTGGCTTTCCTTAGTATGGAAAGTATACTTCAGTAATATAAGGCACTGTGAGGTACACACTCATGATTATGATGAGTCTCAGCCTCTAGGAGAGAAGGATCATACACAAGTAACTACAGCAGGGGGTAGAGAAGTCATATGCCACAGTAATATACTAAGGCAGAAATCAGTCTCTCTAGAGATGACAGGATCAGGAAACTTTAAGACCTTGAAAGTAACTATTGGGCTAGGTCTTTAAGGTAGGGGGAGGATGTGAATATTCAGAGAATGGGGAAAGGGCATAGACAATCCTGAAGCTACCTGAGTGGAACTATTATTAAGCCTTAGGAACCCTCTTCAGGAACATCTTACATCACTGCTCTGCTCTCTCTCCCTCATTTGCCACCTACTTCTGTTTTAATATTCCTCTTTTTAAAAAATGAAATTATCACCATTATTGTAGTTTTTATCTTCACTCAGCCCACTCCTCCATAGATAGCTAAATATGAGAAGAGTTTTCCTGCTTTCAGTTTTCTTATTCCTTGCTATCCTTAAAATGTTTTTTTAAAGGAATTTATCTCAAATTATTATGTACTAATATGAAAACAACAAACATTGGAAAGTTTAAAAGTTTCCATAATCTTTGAAAGGATCAGGTTGACTTCTTTCTGAGGTGGTAATTGAAAAGTTCCTTAGATTTCTGCTGTTTACTATGGTTCTTGAGGTGGAGTCTCTCAACTGCTTCAGTCTTCCTCTTGCTACCACAACCTCCCAGCACTTGGACACCAAGTGCAATGGATGACAGGTTTAAAACTTTCTCTGAAGACCAACATTAAACAAGGATGAGAGGTTGGAGGGAAAGGGAGAGAGAAGGGAAATTGCATGGAAATGGAAGGAGACCCTCAGGGTTATACAAAATTACATACAAGAGGAAGTGAGGGGAAAGGGAAAAATAATACAAGGGGGAGGAATGAATTACAGTAGAGGGGGTAGAGAGAGAAGAGGGGAGGGGAGGGGAGGGGAGGGGGGATCGTAGAGGATAGGAAAGGCAGCAGAATACAACAGAAATGAGTATGTCAATATGTAAATCAATGGAAGTGTAACTGATGTGATTCTGCAATCTGTATATGGGGTAAAAATGGGAGTTCATAACCCACTTGAATCAAAGTGTGAAATATGATATATCAAGAACTATGTAATATTTTGAACAACCAACAATAAAAAAAACTTTTTCTGCCCAAGTGAGTCATTAGCATTTCTAACGTATCCTCAGCAGAGGTGACAATGGTTTCTATCATTCCCTGGAAACCTGCAATTAGGGCATGCAACTTGTAAGCAAAGGTTTGTTTTTTTTTTTTTTTTTGTATAAAATAACTGAACTGGCAAAATGAGCTGGGATTTTGAGGAGAAAGATCACAATCTTCCAAAATCATTTTGAGTTAGAAATTTGGGGATACAGAGAAAGAAAGATATATTTAGTCTCAAAAGAGAAGTATACATGACCCATAGGAGTGCAGGAAGCAACTATGAACTATTGGAATGCAAAACAAGCAATTCCTGAGCATCCCAGCCCATGTTCTTGGCCCATGTCCTTGCCCATAAAAATAACATGATGTGAAGGCAATGGGCAAGCAAAAGGAAAACTGGTAAAAACTGCACAACTCTACTCTAACTCTGCCTCTAGTCCAGCCCTTAGGTATTGTCCCTCTAGAAATATCAATATCCCAGCCCAATGGATTGCTTCTCACTCTCAAAATGTCCCACATTCTCCCTTGAATATGTATTCCTTGCTTTATGGCCAAAGTTTCTCACCTTAGAGACAGCCCACATTTTCCTTTGAATGTGTCTCTGCTTTCCTAAATAAATCTCTCTGTGCTTCTGATGCATCCTTAAATTAATTTCTGTGATGGTTTTCCAAGAATGCCACTGGTCGTGTTCCCCTGTGGATACTCCTTCAATCTCCTCTGGTGACAAATTTAGTTGTGTTCAAGGGCCAAAATATAAGGATGAAAAAGTAGATGCCTCAAGAAATCCCCTTTATATTGTTTCTTGATAAAAGGAAAGACTACTAGATGAAGATAGAGGTAGGGTAAAAAGAAGATGGTTTTCTAGAAGCCCAGATGTTTGGAAGGATTAACAAAATCTTTGGAGAAGAGAGTGTAAAACATATATAAAATAGAAGTTATAATCAGCAAAATCCTCGTGGAGAGAGTGTGGTCTACGTTTAGGAGCACAAATGGAGTATGAGTTTAAAAGAGAAGTATGAACACTCCTTCTTAGTCAAGGCTGAAAGTGGTGAAAAAGAATGAAAATTGAGACTGAGGCTTAGGAAAGCTAAGGTGAGGAAACCCATGCTGGATCCTCCCAGTCAACTATACAACAAGATCATTTTCAGAATTTGGAGGAGCCCAAGTACAATGGGGGCTTGAGGAGAGCTGAAATGGGAGATCTGGGAGATGTGCCCTGGTTTATATCCCTGATGAAGAAAGAAACTTGGAGAATCAGTGAAGAGCCAGGCATTTGAATAAAATCAGTTTGTAGTGGAATGGAGTGATTTCTTAGCCTTATCCAGAGGTGCCTAGTAATGTAGGAGCAAGTTCAAAAGAAAACTTTGAATTAAATATAACAAGAAAAAATTAATGTTAACAACTTATTTTATGGGACATTATTCCTGTTGAAGTTTAGTAACATTTTAATCATTATGAACATGAAATATACAATACAAAAATAGTAGTCACATGCATATTTTAAGGAAAATACAAAAAAAAAAAGAATACTGGAGTAAAAAAAACACAACTAGCTCTATTTTTCTTCTTTCCATGTTCATCTAAGGCATGAAAAATTAATATTCATTTTTTCTTTCAAACACACCAATCTTTATTCAATGTTATTGAAAAAATTAGAACCAAATCATTGGTATTTTCACAGAATATTTAAAAAGTCTTATTTGTAAACATTTACAATGTACTTTTCCCATTCTCCTCTAAACATACACACACATCAAAAAAGTCCAAAGAAGTCAAAAGCAGCTAATTTCCATGATGGCAAAGCATGAGACAGCACTTCCTGGCCCTTGCTAGTCCTTTCCTAATTCTGAAAATATTTAGGGGGAGCACTGACACGTTCACTTGTTTTATTCCTCAGTTTAACCTTTCACTGGATTGTCAAGTTTTTACTACAAAATTTTGGGACTCATTTTTCCAATCAAGGTACCATATTAGCATTTCTCAGGTTACATTTTTATAATCCTCAGTTACAGTAAGATAAAAACCAATAGCAAAGAGTATCATCCAACTTAAAATTCAGAACAGTAGGTAGACATATGTAGCTTGCACACACATTAATCTGTTTCCCTCAACAAAATATTTGTAATTTCCAAAATCCTATCAGCTTTTTCACACAATATGGTCCCTCTAATTTGAGGGGCAGTAACATAAACATAGCTTATTTTTCTAACAAAATCACCAAAAGAAAGGAGCATAAGAATACTAGTGACTACATACTATAGTGATATCGTGTTTAAAAGCTTAATATATTCATGAAGTCCTGCTTTAAAAGGTGGAATCTAAATAGGAAAGTAGTTGATCAAAAACAACTGGTATTAATATACTAGCAGAGTGATTTTAATGAATGAACACTCATCATTAAAGTTCAAGATTGTGCACTGATTCTATGCCTTGTTTCATTTCTTTATCAAATTTAGAGTTAATCTGGAAAGTAGTTAGGAAAAAACAGATTGTGCACTGATTCTATGCCTTGTTTCATTTCTTTATCAAATTTAGAGTTAATCTGGAAAGTAGTTAGGAAAAAACCCCATCAACTGTAACCTATTTTCTTTTCTTTTCATAAAATCATTAGAATGCATGAAGGATTGACTGTCACCTATATCCTTCTCCAGCTAGTAACCTCTTTAAGTCAAAGAGCATGCACCTGTCAACCTTATAGTGCAGAATGCACATACAATGGTGTTTAATAAATACTAGTTCCTGGAGGGGATGAGAGGTTTGCTTTGGGAAGCAAGGAACACACTGTTCTGCGTTGATCAATTGGCGTCTATCATTCAATTGCTAAAATATCATGCAAAGGAAATCCTCATTGAGTCTCTTTTGGGAAGGGCTTATAGGTTTGAAGAGTCAAAAATCTGAGGCCTTAGGGAAGGGGGAGTGGCTGAGAACAAATCTAAATAGAATTCAAGTGGCTCAGTGACGTCAGGAGGAAGCAGAGATTTAAAGGACGGGGTGCAAACTCACCTGGAGAAGCAGAAGCTGCACAGATGTCAAAAGTCAAAGGGCCTAGCCTTGCCGGCTCTTCAGAAGCTGGTAAAGTGAAACGCCCACTACTGGGCTCTCACAGTCAAGTATAAGTCTAGGGGCTCAACTGTTCATGCCTTTGACGCCAGAGGGAAACCCTACCATGTACAATTGGGTTGACAAAGCAAACCTGCCCCAGATTTCAGAGCCGGCGTTCGGGAATCCCCTAGTACTTCTTTCCCTCACCCTCTCTGGCGCCAGAGGCCAGAGACTGGTTCATCTTCACTCCCCACCTTCTCCAGGCCCTCTGGCTCTTAACAGCATCGGTCTCTATGGCGACCTGAAACCGCAGTTTCCATTGGCAGGTTCAATATGAGGGCCGGGCCAATGGGGAGGGTCAGCCTTTTTCTTCCGACCAATGGGGCTGTCGGGGAGCTTGTCCGGAGACGGCGGCGTGCTGACGTTCCCGGGAGCCTGGGGCTGGCCGGGCAGGCGGGCTAGCGGCTGGGCGGGCGGCGGCTGCGG